CAGATGCTGGGAGTGGGTGGATCACTGAGTGATTCTCTGTTCAATTCAGTCCCTCTGGGGTACCTGCATTGGCCACTGTGGGCTGACAGGACACTGGACTGGAGGGGCCTTTGGTCTGACCCAGCCTGACTGTTCCTGTTGCTGTTTCTCACGCTGGAGACAAAGCTCACTGGCCAGGGGCTGCCATGAACTAGGAAGGGGCTGGGATTCCTGTCCCTGTCGCCTGTGCTGAGCTCTGCTCCCACCTCTGCCTGTGGCAGTCAGGGGGGTGACTGAGAAGACCCTGCCCTGTTCCATCTGCTGGGAGGCCCAAGGAGCTCTCCCCTCTCTCTCCCTGGAGCATCCTGGCCTCTCCGGGCAGGGTGGGGTGGGATTCTGCTCCTCGGGCCCCCTCCATTGTGACAAGTGGGGCTGTGGCTGGGGTGTCAGGCACTGAGTGGGGGTCCCGTTTCAGGTGCCGGTGACCTTCGAGGAGGTGGCTGTGTATTTCACCGCGGGGCAGGGGGTGCTGCTGAGCCCCGCGCAGAGAGCCCTCTATGAGGACGTCATGCAGAAGAACTATGAGACGGTGGCCTCTCTGGGTAAGGATTCCTGTGTCCTCAACTAGCAAAGCCCTGGAGCCGGCGTTTCTGCATCGGGTCAGGTTCTTCCCTGGTCAGTTTGAGAGGGGAGTGGGGCCCAAAACCCTCGTGTGAGGGACACTTTTACAGCGAGCGTTATGATGCCCTCACTAGGAGTTTTAATGATCGGTGGATTTCTAGGGGACTTGCTGACACACACACACAGCTCGGGGGTTAAACTCCAAGCCTGTGGAACCCAGACCCCTCCACAGATGGAGCCAGTCCGAAGGTGGCCGGTGAACGGTGTGTGAAGGAGAAATAACGTAGGCAGGACAGTTCCCTGCTTCTGGCCCCTGAAAGCTGGGGAGATGGGAATGAATTAGCCTGTCCCTTAGGTGTCTGACTCCCCTGTTCCCCAAAAGGGGGCATGGCGATATCACCAAAAGGTGAGGAGTCACTGGGCCCTGTATCCCACCCCCTCCATAGCCAGGCAGTTTATTGGTTCACAGGAATACAGCATAGAACAGACTTGTTAGCACCCGAACCAGGAGCAGTCAGCACAGTCCATCTTGGGGAGGAGGGGGCAAAGAGCTAATGTCTCTGCCCCCCACCTCTGCTCCTAAGCCAGCGAGACTCACTTCCACCCTACACAGCTCCTCCCTGGCTGCAGCAAGCCCCATCTCAAACCTTTATCCAGCTTCTCAGGGAAAAGGTGTCCCCTGGTCACATACCCCTCTCAGGCTCAGATTATTGTGAGCCTGGGCTATTTTGAATGTCCTGGCCTGGGTATCCTCCCTCGGTGAGTCACCCCCAAATTCCCATCCCCATCTAGATAGTAGTGCAGTGCCAATGGAAACTGAGGCACACACATGGGGTTACTACAGGACAGTAGAAATCACATGCAATGTAACAAAGCAAACAGAGTGAATACAATCCAGACTTTATCACATCCCCCAGTCCTTTTCTTCCCAGAAGTCTGCTGCTCTCAAGTCCTGGTCCCATGTAGGATCAGATTGGGCTCATGGAATGTTCCATGTGACACACACTCTGCCCAGATTCTATGTGCCTTCACCTTGCCTGATTTCACCTCTGTGCAGGATTCTCCATTTCCAAACCTGACCTGATCGCCCGGCTGGAACGAGGGGAAGAGCCATGGGTTCCAGATCTCCAGCCCTCCAAAGAAATGGGGATCCTGAGAGACACCCGCACAGGTGAGAAGTCAGGGAAACTGACACACAAATATTCCAGAAATGCAGGAAAATCTGGCTCTTCCATAAATGAGCATTGGTTGAGAGCCCTTCACTTCCACCCCATGTGTCTCAGTTAGGGCTGCAGGTATCATCCTGCCAAATACCTGTCTCAGCTCCCCAGCCATCCTATTACGTGTCAGGAGTTTCCTCCCTATGATTCCTTCCCTGGGAGTGTTTGGGTAGGATGTGGACCCACACAGAATGTCTCAGTCTCCCAGACTGTTATTGTGCTGTGCTGTCTGGCTTATGGATGTGAAGGGCTAGTTGACTAGCTGATAAGCAAATCTTATTGGATAGTCGAAAGGCTAGTCAGCTAGTTGCTTCCCTCACCGCTTTCTGCCTCTATCACAAAGAGACAGCAAGGTGGGGAGCGTGGGGGTACTTCAAAGCAGCAGTGCCACTTGTAGTCTGAGGCCAGACCCCAGGCTCCATGCAGCGCTGCTGCTTTGAAATGTCGCCTGCAGCCCAGAGCCCGCTGGGGTGTCTCCAGTATGCACTTGGTATTTCAAAGTAGCAGTACTTGGTGGAGCGGGACTACTCAGTATGCAGCCCATGGGCCACATGCAGCCCATGGACTGTTTGTGGCCCACAGCGTGATTTGGGTTTACGTGGGGCTCAGCACATGGCCCGCGGGTGGGATCCTTTGCCTCCACTGGGAACACTCCACAACAGCAAGTCAGTATAATGGTCTTTTGTTGATATGCATTTTAGTAGTTAAATTCCTGGACTGTCATCCCCATTAAAAGTGCTGTCATATGGTGGAATTCGGGTGACTATTGGATTTTTATTACTATCTGTAGAACTGATTTAAATGGGGCCTACGTGTTGTATAGTCTTGCCTTAATTTTGGCATCAATACCTGTCAATGTGAAAGAAGCTATTTGCATATATTTGAATATATATTTGCACTTATATGCAACCACACTTAAGTTGCAGCCCTCAGTATGTGCTGTGAGTATCATTGTGGCCCCTGGGGCTTCTGCAGTTGAGTAGCCCTAGTGTGGAGCCTAGGATCAGCGGGGCTTCCCCCTCAATTCCCAGGCTCTGAGCAGCACTGCTGCTTTGAAACGCTGCAGGGAGCCCGGCCTCAGGCTCTTCATGGTGTTTCAAAGTGGTAGCACAGCACAGCGCCTCAGGTCAGTGGGGGAATCCCCAGCGGACCCCGGGCTCTACATGGCGCTTTCACCTTTGAAGTGTAGCAATAACCCTAGGGCTGCTGCCACATTACAAAGGCGGAGGCGCCATATCAACTAATCGAATAGTCGATGCAAAATGCAGTGACTATTCGATTAGTCAATACTTAAAATCCTTATTATATCTTTGTCATTCTCCTCTTAGTCCCTTCTTCCCAGTACGGTCAGTGACTCCTGCCTGGATTCTCTCTCTCCCAGCAAGTGCTAGAACACTGAGGGAGAACAAGGAGGAGTGGCACAGTAGAATCACAGGGAACATTTGTGGAATAAGCTGAAAGGGATTTTTCCCAGTATGTAGAACAGGGGAAAGCCTGGGAGATCAACACAGGAAAGAGAGGCAGCTGAAGCACAATTCGAGCAGGAAAGTGGAGGAACCAGTTAAATGCGGTCTTAGGGGCAGGCGGTGAGTTTTTTTTGTTTTTTTGCTTGACAGTCTCTTCCCCTTTCCCCCCTTTTTTCGGTTGACCAGTTTCCTCCCCGCCTCCCCACAGATTTTTTTTTTAAATGGGTTTCATGGCCAAATAAAATTGGGAAACACTGGACTAGACTATCAAATCTCTAGTCAATGGAAGTTCACAGGCAGGAACGGCAGATACCAGAGTTATGGGGCTGGGTGCAGCTGTTAGTGCCTGCAGGGTCCCCTTTTGCCAACGTGCTGAGTCCCTTGAAGGAGGGTGCAGTCTCAGATTCCTTTCCTGCCTCTGGTAGATTCTGTGCAGCTCAAAGGGGCACCAAATGGCAGGCCCAACTGGCCAAAAGAGGGAGGCTGGGAAACCACACAAAGGCTGCTGCTGGCTGAGTAGAATGAAGGCTGCAGAGAGGGAGCTGAGGTGCAGGAACACCCACAAGCACCAGAGAAGCAGCACAGCCTGTCTCTACCCTGGTTGGCCACAGGAACAGCACGGCATGCCCTGGCCGGCTGCGGGAGCAACAGCTGTTGTGGGCAGTTGGCAGGGCCCAGCCTGGCAGAGGCAGTCGGGGTCAGGTGTGTGGAGCATAGGCAGGGCTTGAAGCAACCAGCTAAGGGTTCACTTTCCTGCTCAGGCAACTTCCTCTGTCACTTTCTGGCCCAAGTAGAGCATCTGAGCCAAAGAGCAGGGGAAGCTCAGTCCCACAGCCAGTAGCTTTGTGGACAGAGCCCTTGGGGAGCTAGAGCTCTGCTGGGTCCTTTCTCTCCAAGTCCTAGTGACCTGCCACATGGCAGCTGCAATCTGAGCCCTGCCTGGGGACCTTGGTGTCAGACCTGCCAGCCCTCCCTGAACCTCCCCTTCTGAGCAGTGTGTTCCTGCCCTACCCTGCGGTGGGGGCTGTGGAGCAGGCTACGAGGGAGACTAAGTTGTACTCTAGAGAGCGCAGCTGAGTGCTTAGCTCCCTTGGGGAATCAGCTGAGGCATTCCCGAGGCAGGGGGGGATGCATCTTTACTGCAGGTGAGTGTATCCTGGGATCCTGTACCAGCAGAGCCCAGTCCCTGCAAGGTGGGGAAGGAGCCTCATTGCGTCGGCAACTCAGATTCTGACTCTGGAATCAGTAATGGCACAGACCTTAAAGAACAAGATCAGCTCTTTTAATTGCTCCCCAAACAGGATTTCCAGTCTCCAAAGCTCATGTGATCTCCTGGGAGGAGCAGAGGGAGGAGCTGTGGATCCCAGATCTCCAGGGCTGTGAGAATGAAGAGATCAGTGACACCCACACAGGTGAGCAATCAGCTAAACTGACTCAAACTAATTTCAGTGTCCTCCTAGCAGATGTCACTTGCATATTTTCATCAAGTCTGACTGACCCTTCTGTCTGTCTTCAACTCCAGTCAGAGGGTGCTGGGCGGGGGAAAGGTTATGGTGAAGGAGAATGAACTCATCTCATGGTTATTCAGTCTTTCCAGACATTCCTTGGGCATGCTCCCACTTTTCTATTTCTATTTTAGAGTTTTCTTTCACCTCAGCACAGGGAATAACTCCTGTCTGGATTCTGTGTCCCAGCAGGTGATGAGATGGGACTGGAGCGAATGGCTCCATGCAGAATGTTGTTGAGAAAATCTCAAGGGCATGTTTCTCAGAGTCCTGAGGAAGGAGACTTCTGTGAGAGCCAGCGTAACCCACAAAAGCAACAGGGAAACCATCCAGGAGAGGGACGTGGTAAATCCAGGTACAGAAGCAGAGGGGTGAAAACAAACACAGAAACTGTCCGTCAGAAAATCCCCCATCAACAGTCACCCTGCGCTTGCAGTGACTGTGCAACTCTTAGTAAAAGTGGAAGAGCCCACACAGGAGAGAAACCCTTCAGGTGCTCTGACTGTGGGAAAAGCTTCAGTCAGAGGTCATACCTTGTTATCCATAGGAGAATACACACAGGAGAGAAACCCTTCAGCTGCTCTAACTGTGGGAAATGCTTCAGTCACAAGTCACACCTTGTTAGCCATAGGAGAACCCACACAGGAGAGAAACCCTTCAGCTGCTCTGACTGCGGGAAAAACTTCAGTCAGAGGTCACACCTTGTTAGACATCGGAGAACACACACAGGAAAGAAACCCTTCAGCTGCTCTGACTGTGGGAAATGCTTCAGTCACAGGTCACAGATTGTTCGACATAGGAGAACCCACACAGGAGAGAAACCCTTCAGCTGCTCTGACTGTGGGAAATGCTTCAGTCACAGGTCACAGATTGTTCGACATAGGAGAACCCACACAGGAGAGAAACCCTTCAGCTGCTCTGACTGTGGGAAATGCTTCAGTCGGAGGTCACACCTTGTTAGACATTGGAGAACCCACACAGGAAAGAGACCCTTCAGGTGCTCTGACTGTAGGAAAAGCTTCAGTGAGAGTTCAAGCCTTGTTGCACATAGGAGAACCCACATGGGAGAAACCGAGGTGGGCAAAAGCCTCTCAATGGGCAGAATCCAGCCTTCTTAGGGCTTTGATCCTAACCGGGAGGCAGTGCTACACCCTGCCTCCTAATTGGCATGTGCTGTGAGGGAAGCAGCTCAGCCCCACTCCTCTTCCTGCCATGCAGCCACTGGAGAGGAGGCAGCACTGGGGTAGAGGCTGCACAGCACGGACTGGCTGGAGGCATCGCTGTCACTGCATCTCTGGCTTCCCATGCTGGCTCATGGCCACAGCCATAGAATCTTGTGATGCTGGGGCTATGTGGCCATGGCAGGGGTGCCTCTTGGTCCAGTTGTGGTCCGTGTGGCTGTGGCAATGGCACCTCCAGTCAGGGGCCATGTGGCTGCAGCAGCGAAGCATCTGAGGCTGATTCACAGCTGTGTGGCAGCGGCAGTGGTGCCTCTGGATCCAGTCCTGGACTACATGGCTGTCACAGCAGCAGAACCTCTCTCCAGGCCAGTCAGGGGCCATGTGGCTGCAGCAGCGAAGCATCTGAGGCTGATTCACAGCTGTGTGGCAGCGGCAGTGGTGCCTCTGGATCCAGTCCTGGACTACATGGCTGTCACAGCAGCAGAACCTCTCTCCAGGGTTTCTAGGACAGTGTGGCTGCAGATGTTGTTGCAAGGGGACATGAAGCCAGGTCATGTTACTCCTCATCCCCAGCCCCTCCATCTCCTCATGTCCCCTTCCCCCCAGCTCCCCCAGCTTGCTCTGACACTTTCTTATTCTTGCACCCTCTCTCCTTACCACATGCTGCCCCTTCTCTTGTTCCTGCTCCCTCAACCTGGCCAGACACCCTACTCCCAGCCTGCTTCTCTGCACCCCACCTCCCTTCCAGATCCTGCACCCCATCCCTATCCTGCTTGCTGGCAGCCCTGCCTCACAGACTGTAACCTTAATTTTTGTCCCTACCCAAGAGCCTAAGGAGGTCCCTAAGATCCACTAACTCCAGAACACCAGAAAAGGAAATCTGGTCTATCGGAAGTCCTTAACCTCAGTCCTTCCCCCTTTGCTTCCCTTCATCTGATGAGGCTGGGGCAGCAGAGGATTGGGGTTTCTCAGTTGGGGCCACACCAGGGACGGTTGGAAGAGGTTTTTTGCATCTCACTTTTTTGGTCCCCAACCTTTTTTGTGGGTCAGTAAACCCTGACCCAAAAATGGTTCTCCACTCCTGCCTTAAATAAAGAAAACATTGAAACATTTTGTGTTGGGCATAATGTTTTACTTTATTTAAAATGAAGTTTGACAAAGTAACAGGAGAGAATCAAAATGCTTAATCTGTTTTATAATGTAAATTCAACTGATCTCCACAGCAGCAGCACTAGCAAAGTGGCTCAGGTGTAATTATATAATTAACAGTGAGTGCCCATTAGCAACTGGTAGTCCATGGAAAGGTTTGCATCCATCCTGGTGGTCCACAGTGCATACAGTGCAGAGAGCTCCTCCCCCTCTCCCAGGAGAGTGGCACAGCCCAGGGCAGGAGGCTTAAATCTTTGCACACCCCTTGGGATCGGTTGTTGACCCCTGTTGTAGTTCTTCTAAACAACTGGATGAGCAATCCCTAGGCAGGACTGTGGTCTGTAGCTCATTGGATGTCACTTTATTTTGATCAGTCAGGATGTGACTGCTCCACCTACAAGTTGTCTCCAAGATGTGGCCCACCAGCTTTCTGCCCTAGTGAGACTGGTTTTTGGAGAGTGCAAGTAGGTAAGGAAGGGGCCACTGGAGGCACTTAGCCCCCTGGCTGGCTTTGCTTGTGAAAGGGAAAGTGGAGATTCCGCTATCACTGGAGAATGTGGGTATCAGTCCCACTGCCTCTCATATGCTAAGCAAGTGCTCTGCTACTTGAGCTTATTCCCCTACCTGTGAGCTGTTCTCCTTCCACCCCCCACCTTGTTCCAAGCCCACAATGTCCCTGCAGCTGCCCGAGACTACTTTCTGAAAGGGCCACTCATGTGGCTGTTTCCTGTGGGTCGGGTGCCTCCGCTGGCTGCCGATGGGGGAAGAGAACAGTCAGTGAGACGTGGCTGGCAAGAGGGACGGTTTTCCTGCTGCTGTAACTGAGGGGGAATTGTCCCTCCTCCAAACAGGCAGCCCCATGTACAGACTCCTGAGCCCCTGCTGGGGCGGGGTCATTAAGCAGCTGCGGGGCTAGGCTGCCACACAGCTTAAAGGGAAACTCAGCTCTGGCTTGGGAGTAAGGGGCCCTGTGGGACTGGGAGAGACTGTTATGCTTAAAGAAAGCACATGAGATATTTTATAGGGGAAAAGGCAGTATACCGCATTTATTGAGAATACAACAGTAGCATATGCTTTTCAGCCCCACACGCACACACGCGCACACACACAGAGTCCTGCCAGACAATGTTGTAGTTACTAGTCCAGAGTCTGAATCAATCTAGTGGCCAGTCAGATTGATCGCAGAGGGGAGCTGGGCTCTGTTGGTCGTGATCCGATGCTCCTGGAGTTGGTGACAAGACAAACTTAAAGTTCCATGACAAGCACCCTGTTTTTATAACCCTTTCCTCTGTTGAAGTCCATGGATTTTGCTGTGTCACTCTGTCCAGTGTGTTATTTTTTGACATTATGATTCCAAACATCTCTGAGAGTTATCCTCTCCTGGATTTCATCGGCTGTTTTCAGGGATGCCAACCTTCACCTTTAAAGTCATCAATTTGCCCCTCCTTAACCATGGATGCATGCATGATGGCTCTTTTGACGCAGTCCGTCTGTCTTCACCCGCATTACCCGTTCCTTGGCCATCTGGCTCTCACGATGGCCTTCACACCTCAGCTCTTCCTGGCCCACACACTTCTCATTCACACACAAACAGCCCTGCTTGTACGGAGACCTTCAAAGTTGAATATAAACAACAGTGTTTTATATTGAGCAACAGCAAAAGGCATTGTAAATTAGACCCTAATGAAAACAATTCACATTGAGACTGGAGCCTTCTGCGTTCCTCTAATCTCATTAACATGGACACAAGACAAGATTCTGTCTCTCACTAAACCTTAGAACAAAGAAATAGACATTTAACCAAAGGCCTAAAACTCTATCCCTACCTTAACATAAGTCACACAGTGCTACATTATTACAAATACAAATATAAATCTCTTACTCCAACTAGACCCAGGCAGGTGGCAGGGGCTGCAATGCAGGAGTGAGGGCACCACGGGGCCAGGCTAGCAGGGGCTGCACAACAGGAGTCAGGGGCAGCATGGAGCTGGGAGGTGCCTGGGCATGGAGCAGGGTGCTGCAGGTGGGGAGTGAGGGCACCAGAAGGCTGAGCTGGCAGGGAAGCAAGTAGCACCAGGAGTCTTCCCAACAGGGTCTAGCCGCCCAATTTCCTCCCCACAGTACTGGGCCCCTGACCACTTCAGCCACCAGGTCAGCCCAGGAGCTCAGGCAGGAATGGGGGGAGTAAGCGAGTCAAACAGTAGCAGGGAAGGAAATGCTTGTCTTGCCTTCCTGGACAGTGCATAGCAACAGCCTGTGTGTGGGGGCAGGGTTGCCAAGCACCGTGGACAGAGATTTACAGGCCACGAAGGTTAACTTATAACAGCTAAAGTAGCTCAGCTGAGTGAGCATTAGGCTTCCCTGACTGAGAATCAAACCCAGACCACAGCAGCAAGAGTGCCAAATCCTAGCCTCTAGACCACCAAGGAGACACAAAGTTTTTTTATGCTATATAGAGCATCCACACTACAGACAAGTCTCAAGATCAGGCTGAGGCAAGCTCCCCTAATGTGGATGAGCTATTTAGAGCCCCAGGAAGTAGTGGGGACCAATTACTTTCAATGGCCCTGGGGAGGAGCTATTTTGAAATAGCAGCAGTAGAGTGACCACACAACTCCTACTTCAACGTAGCTATTTCAGAAGAGGCGGTATCCCTCGTCCAATGGGGTTTACAGAAATTGGAATAAGCCATCCAGTATTTCAAATGTATTTCGAAACAACAGAATTGCTGGGTAGATGCTTGCATTGTTATTTTGAAATAACGCTGCTGTGTAGACGCACCCACACTGCTTGGTGCTTCCAGGGAAGGGCCTCACTGCTCGAGCCGCCTAGGCAGGTTCTGGCCACAGAGACACATCCCAAAGCAGGACAGATGCTCAGACTGACACTGAGTGTTGCTCAGCACTGGGGTGAGACAGGGAAGGACAAAAGGGTCGAACAGCACCTGCAGCCTTTCAGAACAGCCCCTGGCCCCACCCCCAAGTACCAGCCCTTCCCTCTTCCCTTGCTAGTCTCCGCTGGGCACTGTCTGGACTCAGGCCTCCCCGGTGCCAGCCAAAGGGCTCTGGAGAAGACATGGCAGCTCCGTGGCAGAGTCCTGAGACCCTGGCTGGACAGGGCTCATTCAGGAGCTATGGGGCTGGGCTGCAGGATGGGGAAAGCACTGTGGGCTGGCAGTAGATGGAGTTGTAGTTCACATGGCAGCTGTCCAAGCAGTTAGGCTTGGATTATGGATGTTCTTTTCTGCTTTCCTCTCTCTGTTCACTGCCTCACCCCTTTCCCGTACCCTGGTCCTGCCTGGCTCTGGCTCCCTCCCAGCTGTCTGGCTGCCTCCCACATGGGCTGAGCTCAGGGGCCGGGTGGGTGACCTCTAAACCAGTGCTTCTCATTAGTCTGCTCCATCTCTCAGTGAATCCCAAGGAGCCAAGCGATTGTGTCCTTGAGTGGCATTCTCTGCTAGCGAATCAGCTTTGTGGGGAGGATCATGGAGGCGGGGCAAAGAGCTCTCTTGTTAGGTCAGCAAGGAAGCAGCCAATGCCTCACCCCCAGGGAGCTGGATGGAGACCACATAGAGGAAACCGCTGCCTCTCCCCTGTGTAACTGGCACTTTCCTGTGGGGCAGCTCTGCCAGCTTGGAGCCTGTCTTCACTGCTTCTGTCACTGCCAGGCAATGGGAGGCTCAGTCCCAGCAGCTTTCTGCCCCAGCATGGCTGGCTTTTGGGGAGACAAACTAGGAACAGGGAGGAAGCTACTGGAGGTCCGTAGCCCCAGCTGGCTCTGCCTGTAAAAGGAGAGAGGAGATTTCCCCCTACCACTGGAAAATGTGGGTTTTGATCCCATTACCTCTCACATGCTAGGCAAGCACTGTACCACTTGAACTAATTCCCCTGCTATAGTATTAATGAATGGAGATGCCTTATCTCCT